GACCAGTTGCCGGTTCAAAAATTAGAAGGATCTCTTAGAGCCTTCCCTGTGCCCTCTGGAATCACTGGGTTTCTTTCTATTGGCTTTCATTTAGAACTATATTGGAAAAGTTGCTTCTTTTTTTTGTTTGGATACAATACAGGAATTCTCAATTGACAGCTTTAGAGGAGAAAAAATATATTATCTGATTATTTGCAACTAGGAATACTCTTTTGGGGCCAGAACTAAAGGCCATTAAGTCAATGGAAAGATTCCTATTGTCTTCACAGACCTTTGGATTAGAGCTCTAATGCCCTGGACCTTTTATTGTGAGAAAAGAGTTTCAATGACACTGGATTGTTTTATGTGAGACAGAAAGAAAAATGTGCAAAAATACGATCTATCCTCTTCAATGTACTCTTCTGATCCCATGACACACCTTTCTTCTGGCATATATAGGGCTGTGAGGCTAATGCAAACTAGTTATTAGGAAAGAAAGATTGGCATGGATATTCTGAAAGAACAAAGTCCTTGGTACAGCAACTCCCACTATTTGAGGCTCAGAAAAACTATGAGCTAAGTCCTTCAAGTTTGAGGAGGGACCACCAGTTCAGTTCACCCTGATGCTGGTTTATGTTATCCAGCTTTCAGCCACTGGCACTGAAACGTTCACAAGTTTCCTCTTATCTGCTGCTCATGGCTGGCTGACAAGATGGCATGACCTTGGGTCATTAGGGCTAGGGACAGATATTACACATAAGCTGGTCTAAGTGATCAGAAATTGGTTTAAACCTGTAACAGAACAGATGTTCAGTGCACATAAACCAGTTTGAAAATGGCTGAAGCTGGTTTGAGATAAACCTGGCTGGATGTAGTATCAGACTTAATTGATTGGGGTCAAACCAGTTTATGCAATGTCTGTCTCAGACCCCTTGCTGGTTGAAGATAAACCAGACTCCCCAGCATCCTGGCATGCTCTCGGGGCTGGGCAGGGCTCTCTGCTCCACAGCAGGGCTGGCCCCTTCCCTCTGCTCCCTGGCTGGAGCTCCTGCAGAGACTTGCAGGCACAGAGCATCTGCCTGGCTTCCCCCTGCTAAGCAGGGATTATTCCCCTTGCCCCTCTGCCTTACGTAGACACCTTAGCATTAGCTAGCAGGCCACATGCTGGCTATGGTCCACACTGTGGGAGACAACAAAGGCAGATAGGCTTTTTGGAGCTAATCAACAGGTAATTTAACGTCCTTCCTTGGCAAAGCTGTTTAAGAGGACCTTGGAGAGAGACTTTGTTTTCTGAATGGGTTGATAAACACTGAGTTAGGGGTGATAAACATTCCTTGCTGGGCTGCTCAGGAAGGCAGGAGTATTCAGAGCGTCCTGCCAGGGCCTGGCCACACCCCATTCAGCTTAGCACTGTGAAGCGAAGGGAGGGCTGCTCTAGCTCCCCTCAACTTCTAGCCTGAACCACCGCAAGCATGTGCCTCCTTTCTGGAATGAAAAGGGAATGTCTATCCACCTCCAAATCGGTTCAAGTTTTGCATTAGACTAACCTGCAAAGATTGAATCAATTCAGGCTCAGGCTTTTTGAATGTCTGTCCCTAGCTTATGGACCCATAGCATCTTGAAAGCATCTCGAAAGCATCTCAAAACACCTGAGGGCACCACAGCACCCCAGCTGATGATCACTGATATATATAGATAGTGAAAGCCAATGTCATTCATCACACAATGTTGTTACTATTAGGCGTGCAGAGATTTCAAATAGGAACCTTAAAATAAATAAATTTTGTTTGGGTGCTTTATTATCTATGATTGAGGTATGAAATGCTCTGCATGGGTTTGTGCAAATATAGTCTTCAAGTTTTACGCCAGGTGGTTTCAAAACTCTGAATTATGCTTTAAGGTTCAGGTTCAAATGAGCTTACAGCAGAATTCTTTGAAAACTAGGGTGTCAAATTCAAGGAAAACTCTACCTTTGTCATGATTGCTCTACAAAACCAGCATTCAAACCCAGGTACACTACCAGATTTTGAATATAAAGAATATCTAGGTTATTAAAATTTGTTGTTTTGAACTAATATTATCAGCATTTATTCATGTCAATCCCCTATATAGTCTCAAGTTTTTCTATATTCCTCCTAAATTGTGAGGACTTATACTTCACTATACTAGGTGTATTTACAACTAGATTATGTTAAATGACATTAACACTATAACTCTCATGCGATCTCTCCCTTAAATATATATACACTAGAACTATCCATAATTAAGGTTGAATGTGTCACTTCCCATTACGTTTTTTTCCAGGTGTTGTTTAACTGTGCCAGATTTTTAACTATTCAAGCTAAATTTTTCAGCCTACTGTTAGCCTCACACTGAACTGTTTCAGAAAGTTTTGGTAAAAAGGATTCAGCTAATTCCTATCAGGCAAAAATATATTGTCTCCTCCCTCCTAAAATTTTGTTTGCAATTCTTTCATTAGGAAAGTCTATCACCAATATTTTTTGGAACAAGAATGTGACATTTTGTGGAGAGACTATCAGAAATTTGCCTTTGCTATTCTCATGAGAAATCCCCCAAATTTGATCAAGTTACAAGTCTGAACAAATCATAAGTCACACATGCTTGGAGGAGACTTGTTAGAATCTGGTGGCTGAATTCTCTGGAGACTCCATCTGTATGGAGCATGCTTCAGGACAGGATTTCAAGGGCTAAGCAGGATTTTTTTCCTGCAGTAATTTATTCCAGTGGCTTATGTTGGTGCAGTGCCGAGCAAAGGAGTTGAAAGTAGGGAGAGTATGCAAGAAACTCTTATTCTGGTATTTCATCACATCTGAACTCTTGACTCTAGGACCTTAACACTCTTTAAAGATAATTTTGTATGTAATACACAGCTGTATATAAAAACAGCACTAGCTTTTTATGACAGGTTGGCTACTGGAGGACCCGGGCAACTATAGGCCCGTCAGTCTTACCTCAATCCTGGGGAAACTCTTTGAGAAGATCATCAAGGAGCACATTTGTGATGGGCCGGCATCAGAAATGATGCTCAGGGGCAATCAGCACGGATTTATTAGGGGGAGATCATGTCAGACCAACCTGATTGCCTTTTACGATCAAGTCACAAAGGCCATGGATGCAGGTGTCACGGTGGATGTAGTCTTTCTGGACTTCAGCAAGGCCTTTGACACCGTCTCTCACCCCATCCTAGTTAAAAAACT